AGTATAATATGATTTGTTGGTCCTCTATTTTATCTTATCAAAGTTTTATTGCGTGTGTACATCTCTACTTACCTCACTTCTCGATTATATTTTTTATATATTTTTATTATTTTATTGTTGCCTGCTAACATGCACAAGTTGGTAGTTTATTCTTCAGCATATGGTTAAGCATATGCTTGTATCTGTAGTATTTTCCTCCGCTTGTTGTCTCTCAGGCTCAGTAGTTAAACAGATTTCAAAATCAAACCAGATACGATTATTTATGGCTGATAGAAGGATGGCTGTAGACTTGTAGTTAAAGTTTTCTATATATCCAATTTCTAAACAAACGCTAAGAAGTCGGTTTGAATGTCACTTTTGCATATTGTTTTCTGTCAGTATTGGGTATCTTTCACAATAGTTACAATCAATATAAAAAAAAAATGATGTGTTAACGAAAAATTAGCATAACTACACATCGATACCCACACCTCGATAACACTCAGTTTCCGAATCATGTCTAATATAAAAGGAAATATTTCTTAAAGAGGTTTCTAATAATAAAATAATGAACATACATAATATGTTGTCAAAAAAGTCTTGCGGTATTTTTGCGGTATTTCTGCGGTATTTTTATTGAATTTTCAATTGTTCATAACAAAAAAAAATAAAACTCATGCCCAGCTCTTGACCGATGCTATGGCTGCTACTATGCCGGTCTTTTTCGACCAATTCAGCGATTTTATCGCAATTTTCGACGACAGGCCTTCCAGAGCGTGGCGCCTCTTCGACCACCTCAACACCAGAACGAAAACGTTGAAACCATCGTTGTGTGGTGGAAATGGAAACTGTATCGGGTCCATAAACTGCACAAGTTTTATTGGCGGCTTGAGATTCATTTTTGCCTTTAATATAAGGTGACATGCAATGTCCTTTCAAAGTAGAAGTGCACGTGTACGTAACCAAACCTAATCAGAATTATACAAACATTTATATATTTTTTTTTTTTTTTTTTTTTTTTTTGTTATATGAAAAATCTTCCGAACATCAACAGCTCTAAAATAGCTGCTAACAAGTTGTGTGTAAATATATATAGAATATCAAAAATTTGAAATATCAGTATATTTGTGACATACCCGAAATGCATTCAACATGGAAGAAATCTCTGAGTACGTAGAGAAAAGCGGATCTACTCACACATATATAGGCAATGAGAAACTTATTTAAATACTATCCCACACATACTATATTTACAATTTACTTAACATAAACATGAAGTGAGTCAGTTTAGTTACAATATCATTTTGCAATAATGACACAATGAGTAAAATAGTTGGACGAACTTTTGAGTACACATTATTTTCATGTACTCACGCTTATTTGAATGGTATATAGTTATTATATTTTCCTCACAATTGTGCTAGCTTTTAAAACTTCTAGGAAATACATAAAAATATATAGTAGGGTGGGTCAAAAACAAACGAATGGTTTTTCGCTGATTCGCTTCCAACTATTTCAAAAAAATATTTTGTTTTGTTGATTCTGTAGAAAATTTAATGCTCTTCAAAAAAAGTTTAAAAGATATTAATGATCAAAATTTTATTATTTTAAAGAAAAATCTGTTTCCCTTATAAAGTTTTTTATTCAATGAAAAAAAAATATATTTAAATTGCAAAGCTCCAAGTCTTTTAAGAAATTTTCTGCTCCACAAAAATTGTCTATATAATATTTTGACTAATTTAAGCGTCTAGGAAAAAAAAATAATAATAAACATAAATGTTAAGAGGGTATTCTACTCTAGAAATCAAATTTTGGGCAGATCTTTGAATTTTATTTACAAAAAAAAAAAATACTTTTACAACCCATTTTTTTATGGTGTTTTTATTGATTTCTTAAGAATACAGAAAAAAAAAATTTACAAAAAAATATTAAAATTTAAAATAATTAGAGGGGGGGGGGCAAGCCAGGTGTAAAAAAATGGCGCATCCTGGTGACACTGATCCTGACTCTCCTGGTGGTATGAGAAAAACAATTCAAAAGAAATTATTAATCAGTAAGGGTGCTGTTATAGTACCTATTTCAGGGAACACGATTTTTTTTTTTTTTTTTTTTTTTTTTTTTTTTTGGTAATGGCGACAGCCTGAAAATAAAAATCATTTTTTACGCTTTTTTTTTTTTTGTTTGAAGTTCCTGAATTTTTTTAAATATTAAAAACAAAGGATTAATGATTATATAAAGATAAAGAATAAAGGATTATATAAAGAAGGTTCACACAAACTTTCAAGTAAATCGATTGAATAGAACTTGATAAAATGCCTACCGTGTGGAAAAAAGTAGTTTCGAGAAAAACGCGTTTAAAAAAGTGAGTCTACCTATCTACCGGGCTTGGTACTGCATCACTTAAAATTTTAATTTTTAAAAATCCTTTGGAGGATATATTCTTAAGGGTCTTGACTTTAAATATATGAAAAAAAATCGAATTTTTCGAAATTCTAGAGTAGAATACCGCCTTAAACAAACAGAAAAATATAAAATAAGAAGTTTTGCGATTTATAATAATTTTTTTATTAAGTTCACTCGTACCTTTTAAATGGTGTAGACCTTTTTTGAAGAGGATACAATCTCCTACTATTTAAATCTGTAAAACGAAATATTTTTTCAAATAGTTGGAAGCGACACAATTTTTTCTATCTGATAATAAGGAACAAATAGAAAACTGTTTTGCAGAGGACCTTCCCGTTACAATTAAAAGCTTACACTTGGAAAGCTATTCTTAGAGGTGTCCGTTAACAAATTTTCCTCTGTACGAAGCGAAAGCAAAATATCTTTTTTCGACCCACTCTAATATTGTATGCAACTTATTTTTTTTTTATATTTATAGTGATAAATAAATAAACAAATATGTACAATTTTGGTCGATCACTTTTTGCGATTTCTCCGCTAGAGACATTATTCCATCAGTGTAAATCGAAATTCCGAAATTTCAAGAATGGAAGCGAGCCATTGTGATGCTACAGAAACTGATACAGCATCGTCTCCGTAAACTTTATAATTTTCTTTAGTGGTTTGCGTGGCATTCTTCCCTTTTTTATAAAAAATTTCAAAATATAGTGAATTTCTTCAATCTTGTCACTCATTTTTGAGCAGCTGTAACTTTTTTTCAACTTTTCCGAATTTTTAATTTTTTTGGTTAAATTAATTCACCTTTCCAACACTATATGGCATGTCACAATATCTATTGACAAAGTACGAATAACCCAATAATACTAAAACCCAAAGTAATTGCAACTCTGTTGGAAAGTTCTTTCTATTTCGAATTTCAATATTTACTATGCTGAGTCTAAATATATTTCAATAAATCTTGGCCGCTTTCTCACGTCTTTATATTAAGGTATTTGAATCCTTATCTATCTTTATATTTTTTGTTGGTAAAAGCAGCTACATTTGTCAGCGAGGAATAATTTGCTGCTGGGTTATTGCAGACAGAATGCAAACCTTTATATTTATACACGAAGGTGTAAATTCTAATAGGATTTCCAACGACAACATACCATGCAGACTATATTTCCGCTCAGGATGCTTTGGTTGCTGTCACCGGAAGAAATTTAAGGACAATTTTGTTGAAATATCTGAATAGTTGAACTACAAATAGTTAATAATAATTGTATTAAATGCATGATACAAAAATAATATTGTATTTTGACTAAAAAATTTATAACAGTAAACCTTCCCGTTCAGTAAGAGGTAAAGCTGCCACATTTAAGATATTCGACTTGGCAAAATACTAGATATTTACTGATATGTAGAGTAAATATCTCTGATTTCAGTTGACCCGCAACAGATGAGGCCTCTTTGAAGATTTACAGAAATCATTTTTAGCGTAAAACTTTTTTCGAAAACATTTTAGCACTAAAATAAGTACAGAAATTAGACAAGTGCTATTTTAATTTGTTGTCCAAAATTGTACAACAAAAATATGATATCACTTGTATAAGTGTATAAATAGGCGTTCTCATAATATATATGTTCAAAAAATAAGGTGACATAGTATTTATTTTGAAAATTCTTTATTTATTCTTCCAAATCAATTTCATCCTCTTCAAAGTAATCCCCACTAGATTTACTACATTATGCAGATTCCAATCTTCGAAACACTGGTTGTACTCACTTTCCGGGATGGCCTTCAGTTCCGTCTTCGCTGCGGCTTGAATATCGCATAAAAACGGTGTCCCCGGAGCGGTCTTTTGAGCTTGGTGAACAGCAAGAAGTCGCACGGCGCCAGATCAGGTGAATACGGTGGTTGCGGAGCGATATGGATTGAGTTTTTGGCGAAATGATCATTTAATGCAAATTCTTTGCTCAACAAATTTCGACATCGCAAAAAACGAAAAACTCACTTTTAGCAGCTCACAAAACGACACATATCGCAAACGCTAATGAATATTTTGACATGAATTTTACATAAATATGACTGACAGTACTACCAACCAAAAAAATAATAATTCTCCAAATCCTTCGACGCAAGTAGTTTAAATTCAAATGTCACCTTGTTTTTTGGACACACTAAATTTTTGAGCCTTTAATTCTATTTATTGGCTACTTTGTAGCTTAGCTCATTTAGCAAATTCGTTTAATTTAATTTTCAAAAATATTTGGCAAGTTTGAAATATGTATAATATATGTACATGTGAAGCATTCATTCTTATAAATAAATATCTCCCATGTGTATCATTATGTGTATTAATTACTAACACAACCGAAATGTAAACATGTATACTTAAGTACTCGAAAATAAGTGTCTGGTAGCTTGGCAGTAGATATTAAATTCCATTAAATCGTCATAAAGGCTTGAAAATGTGTGTCAATAACTTAATTGACGAAAATTTTATTTACGAAACTATATTTTTTTAATAAAATTTCGAGATATAAGATGAGTAAGTCTTTAAGTTTCTTTAATTAATAATTACTTTCTAGCATTTTATAATAATCAATTTGTATTTATTTTTAATATTTATTTGCAGAAATGAGAAATTCTACACATGCTGCGATGAACCTTATCTGGACATAACCTTTAATATCACAATGCGCCGTAAGACGCTCTTCTATACGGTCAATCTCATTATACCCTGCATGGGTATTAGTTTTTTAACAATATTAGTTTTTTATCTGCCATCGGACAGTGGCGAAAAGGTAAGTAGAAACAATAAAAAATTTTAATTACCAAATTAAGTCAAATATATTCATTTTATAGAATTGTAAGACTGATTCAGTATAAGTATTACATACAGTGGCCAGATTAATTTAGTTTTAAACTTCAACCCTTGCCTCTATTTGCAAAAATGTAACGATAATCTATAACTCTGTTAGTGTGAATTCTAAATTTTTATTTTAGGAAAACATTTCAGAATACATTATTTAAAGTATTGCCCATCTTAAGCTATACGATTTTTCCATCCTTCGGGCTATTTTGGGATTCCATATCAAAAGAACTACGTGAACTTTGTGGTCTTGAATGCCAATTCTTGATGCCCTGTTCTGATGTGAAATCTATACTGCTAAGGACGTACTGCATTGCCCGAAACAAATGATTGTCGGAAGGACAAGATTTAGGCTATTTGGTGGGTGAGACAAAATTTGTCAGTCGCTGTTTTCAAAATAGTGTTTAGCCGGTTTTGCCTCATATCATAAGGCTTAATATTATTATAATTGAGAGCAAATGCCTTGTATTTGGGTGAAGTTTTCGTGTATTTTTTTGGCAAAACCACGTCTGAATTTACTGAGATATTGCTTACAATAATAGTTCCACCCAGTTTTAGAAACTCATAATACCGCACGTCCTTCTGATCCCATCAAATGCTCTGTTCCTTGACATGATGGATATTCGGCTGTATCTTTAACACCGCTGATTGACCAGTATTCACTCATAAATTCTTGTGTTAAGGGTTGTGGGAATGGATCCGTCTTTCATCACCAGGCATAAACCGATGCAAAGACGACTTTTTTGTAACGTTAAAGCAGCAGTTTTGACATGCAAAATCATCTTTCAAAGTCTCCAAAATCTCATGCGACTCATATGAAATCCAATTTCTTTACTTTGGTATGTAATCAGTTGCTTTTGAAAGTTTTAAAATGGCTGCATAGGTTCCTCCTAATAGTTCGACGGGCTCTTTTTATTTTTGGCAACTTAATCGGTACTTAATACTTCCTGTTTCTCATTTTCAATCAAGTTGCACAATCTATTGGCAAACCTCGCGATGTAGTTATAGTTACTACAAGATTTTTTCAACAGAAGTAATACTTACAGTTGAAGATAGAAAGCATTTAGTTTTGAACTCAGATTTTGAATCTTTTCCTCTATTTCCAACGCTGTTAATTTAAAAACTCCCACATTGCTGAAATCACTAGTGACATCCTCTACAAAAGTTAACAGCCTTCAAGTTTACAAACTGAAACTGCCCCTAAAACTCCTCTTCCCACCAGCAAATTAATTTCACCGCAAATAAATATTGCAAATCAATTTTCAAGCATTAAATCTCTCATTTAAATATGTTTGTCAGAAAAACATATTAGTCATCATTATCGTAATAAATAGTGTGCCATTATTCATAATTAGCTGCCTTTAGGAAAAAATTGTCGCAAAAATGCTTAATTGATTGCAGCAACTAATGAAAAAGCCTAATTCAATTAATTAAAGCTTAAATCCACATTTAAAGAATATGAAATAATAAAGATAAATGCAATTATGATTATATGCCCACTTCTCATCTTGGATTTTTTTCACTCGAAAATATTTACTTTAGAAATCTCCTCAAAGACTCTAACATTAAAATTTCGGCGAATTAAACAATTTAATCAAAAATTCACACAAACAGCCAAATCCCAATAATCAATAAATGCATTTACATATACTAACGAACATCATTGTTAACTGGAACAATTTCCATTAATTTGCATTTGGTCTGCAATTAACAGACCATTACCCATGCATACAGGTTGACCACGGCGTATGAGTGATCAATGAAAGTTTGCGCATAAAAACTGAACTGGAAATTAAACTTATGCATAATTTAGTAGAAACATAGTAATCGCAATGTGCAAACAAATTGTGAATAATTGTAAAATATGGAAAAACACAAATTAACAACAAATAAATAGCAAAGGGAAGGGACGCTCTGCATAAACAGAAAATGTCTTTTGAATGCTGCGCACAAGCGTTTCTATGAAATATCCGATCAGTGGCCACAAAACCGCAAAAGTATATTTTTAGCTGCACATTATTTTGAAATTACCGATACAGGTTTGTAATTATTACAAATGTAATATGTGTGTTTGCGTTTGTGTGTAGCAAACACTGTGCTCAAGAAGATGGTGCACCTCAGTGTACATATATTCTATATATCTAGACAGTCTAGAAACGATCCACAACGATTTCGAGAGTTTCTACCATTTGTTGAGCTTAAATTACCTTTCCTGTGTATGGTTGAGCTGTTGGAATGTCAACTATTCTGGAAGAATGTCTGCAGACCATTTCTCAAAACATTAATACACTTTCGAAAGGAGTAATTTTGATTCAGAATCCTCTAACCTAAAATTTTTTCTTTACAACATATCCAACATTCCCAAATGGAACCTACTTTTTTTTATTTTTGTCCGTAAAATAAAATCTTCTTGGTTGCCCACTACATATTCCTCCTTCTTAAATAGTCTAGCTTTAATAGGATAATTTTGGTAAAAAAATAAGCTTGCGTTTATGTTTGACTGAAACATAAGACTGTCGTTGATGTCATAATAAGAATATTACACTGTCTAGAGCGTTTACCAATGATGTTGAAATCAAATTACCACGGTTATGGGTATTCTAGCCATACTGTAAACCAAGCCGTCAAATAATTGTGGTAAAAAAGAAAAAATTCTTAATAGATTCCATTAAATTGTTGTTCATAATATAAATACAATTTTTAGCGATCTTCGTAATGATAATTCTCTCTCATCGCCACTCGTCGAACAGTCGAGATCAAGTAACTTGCAGAGTTCACTGAAACATCACGCTATAAGCTTAGAGAGAAACCACTACCACGTTAATGGGTTCTTCAAAACCGAATCAGACACGAATTTGTAACCGCCCATGTACTGTTAATTCGGCTGGGTTCTACTAATATATTTTCAGAAGCTTTGGTGTAGCTGCAACAACAACAAGAATATTAGAACAATTATTAACAGACAGCATATGGGTGGGTATAGACCAAGCCAATTTCTTTCGAGAGATTGAGCCCTATGTAAATAAGTAATCTCCCCTTCTCCTAAATTAACCTTCAAATCGAATTATTTGCTTCGAAATTAACTTATGTTCTTTACGACATTCTTGGTATATGGGCCCAAAGTTGAATCTAAGTCTAAGACTAAGAATAAAACAAATATTATATTTCAAACATACTGGGCCGGCTTTAATGATTCAATTTCCCTAAAACAAAAACTAACTGGTATGACCTAATATCAAAAATAAAAATGGATTTTGCCGTATAATGTTATTATTCATTGGACATGACTTAAAGTAAGCATATTTTCCAACAACGCAAGCTGAGGTTGTAGAATCCCACAATTCTCCTCATACCTAAGCATTTCTTAGAGCTAAATGTAAACAATATGCAATACTACATAGCTAAAGGGTGTCTAAATAAGTTCCAATATATTTTACCAATTCACTATTTTCAACAAGCTTGTTTTAACAGCAATGATTTTTGTTTTCATTGAAGCTCAACTTTGCTTCAACAAAATTCGCAAATCGCTTCATTAAGGACCTTTCAACCTCGAAATAACGGGATAATATGCCTGCGGCACACATTGTCCTCTTTACGCTACGCCACAGGCAAAGCTCAGCGTGACAAAGGACACGCACAAAATCGCCCACGCGCATTTCGGTTATTGCGTCGGCAAACACTCAGCCATACTTACAGACACGTGTACAAACAGAAATGAAAACAAGTGTTTATAAAGCTGTGTCGGCATGTGTCAAAATATGCTGGGTGGCACACACGCTACGAGTGATATCGATGCTACGCGAGAGTGTCCACATGGATGCAACTACATGGAGTATATTTGCTTATAAACGCGTACGCATGCATACATATGTACATATACATACACATATCCATCTGTGTGCGACGGTATGTGCCACTTGCGACCGCATGCGTGCACATTCGCTTGTCTCAATGGGTTTTCAAATATTTGGTGGCACGTGCATAACCGCCACAAAAATGTTGTGACAATCAAGACCGAACTCATCGACTCTCGCTGGCGCTTCGGTGGCACTCAACGAGGGAATTGCGCGAAATTTTGTCGGGGCGTTTTGCATAATTGAAGTAACAGCCGCTAACGTGGCCAACGAGTTTCAACGATGTTGTTGTTGTTGTTGTAGGTTCGGGGTTTTCTGCTCTTAAGCATTGTCTCACATTTATTTTGCTAACGCAAACGCGCTACCGCTCAAATTCTCAGAGGAATTTCACTGTGTCACCGTTTCAGTGACTTTAAGACCATCACTAGTCGCATTTCACTTTTACTATTTTGAAAAAAAAGTTTATACTTTTGCGACATATTGCAACAGAGTATAATAGTAGAAATGATCTAGATGACGAGACCAGTTGACCAGACCAGTTGAAATCCAGGTGATTGTCTCTCTATCCGTTCGTTTGTCTGTCCTGAAGTACCTGAAGGTATTGTATGTTGCAGGAGTAAGAAATGTTCGGTTATACCCAAATTTAGTTTATACTTAAGGGCGGATTTTGCAACAGGCTGGCATAGAAACCAACACTTTGACCAAAAGTCTTGCTAAATTTTTAAGTAGTTCAATGCCGGTAAATCGAAGTAACAAGTGAAACTTTAAGACCTTTTTCGAATTGGTATTAGCAAATTACTTTTAAGTCGGACAACGGAAAGCAGAGGTATACACTTCTTTGCATTCAGCACCCGATATTGCCTGTAGAGTGAAGTGGTTTTTATGAGTCTACAGCCCCTCTGATACATATCTTTAGGATTCTCTTTGTTTGTCAAAGCTTTTACGAGAGAGCCTCCATTAAGAAGGCTGTTGTCTGCCCATTGCATTCCTGTCCCTCTCCTTAAAATAATTCAAACTTTTGTTAGAGCAGCACTTTTTCCATTTTTTTCTTTTAGGATAAGTCACACAATTTTTTTAATCATATTTTAGAAGAAGAAGAAACCCTAAAAAATTTTTTAAATGCAATTGAAATGAGTCAGAAATCGAAAAAATTATGAGTATTAGTAAAATTTCTCTTGTCTTGATTTAGAAATTTATTCCATGGAAAAAATATTTGTTTTGCTCTACTTATTATAGCCGCGAGTCTTACAAATACCTTTCTTTATAAGCATCGAATTAAGACTATCTTTAAGCATTAATTTATATATTTTCACATGTGTTTTTTCTAATCTGTATTTTCTATTTATCTTTCAACTACAGGTCTCATTAAGCATATCCATTTTACTGTCACTGACTGTGTTCTTCTTGTTGTTGGCTGAAATTATTCCACCAACGTCGTTAGTTGTGCCACTTTTAGGGAAATTTGTGCTCTTCACAATGATATTGGACACGTTTAGGTAAGTTATATAAAACCATATGTATGTAAACATTTTTACATTAAATAATATTTATCCAATATCAGATACACATATATTATTTATTATTTTCTTAAAAAACATTCATATATTAAATATAGATATGCAGAAATTGCTCCTTTTAAAAATTGCTGAAAGTTACACAAATCTCGAACATGAACTAAATATATTCTTGGACGTCAAAACGCCGTTCATTCACACAATCATATTCCAGCTTTAAGACTATGGGACAACCTTTCACAATTACTCATAAAGCATTCCCATCTTCTATTTTCGAAAACCCTAAAGTAAAAGCTTTTCAAATCAAACTTATCAAATAAGTCGATTTGTCCGCCTGACTGTCTGCATGTCTGTGTACCAATGCGTAATACTTCTCAGTTTTGGAGACATCGATCTGAAATTTTGCACACGCTCTTTTCTTTTCATGAAATTGCTCATTTGTAAGATCAGATCACTGTAGGTCATAGCTTCCATACAAACTGATTAATCAAAATCGTTTTCTTGAATGAGAAATATTTTTATTTGACAAAATATTTTCACTCGACTCTTTAAAGATTATTGTCCAAGATAACGCTATAATCCCCGTACATACATGTTTCTTCCACAATTTTAGAGAAAGTTTCTCGCCTTTTCATAAGCCTTTCATCTTACATTATTTTAGTCCATTATAAAGGGTGATCCGCTTCGACGTTCCTTTCTTGTTTAAAAAAAACAAGGCAAACTTCAAATTTAATGTCTCTTTTATATGTTGGCTGCAGCTACGATCAGTTGCCAAACAATACTTAAAAATTCACAAGTTATCTTTCAACAAAAAAAAAACTATTGAAAAAAGTAAATCTACTTGGAGCACCCGTTACTTCGGTTAGAAGGTGATAAGGTATTTCTTTCAGTATACATATAGCAGAAGAAGTTACTTTTGTACGTATGCCAGTATGCCGGCCAAGCCTTTTGAATAGCCTTTACGTCTGCATAACGCTTTCCTTTCATGGGCAAATGCATTTTTCCGAAAAGGATGAAGTCGCACTATGCCATATCAGGTGAACATGGTGAGTGGTTAATGATTAAATGTGATTTTTGGGCAAATAATCGGTCACAAGGGTCGAATCGGATGTTGGATTCTGAGCAATTTTCGGTCGTCCGTCAATTTGTGCGAAACAAACCGTGCACACCCCTTTCGTAAGCCCAAATTTTCGGTCAAAATGCGATAAATCAATGTTTTGGAGATGCTAAATTCTATTTCCATGAATTTTAATGATTTCGGCTGATTTTTGAAGAATTCACGCACAGTTTCAATGGAATTTCCCGTGATCACTCATTTTGATTGGCCAACATGTTGTTCGTCATTAATGTCTTCACGACCACTTTGAAAACGTTGAAACCACTCGTGCACTCTGCTACAGGATTGACAATCATCGCCATAGACGTTGAAACGTTTGAGTAAAAGTTTTACCAATTTTAAAACAAAATTTAATGTTGGCTTATTGTCCGAACCTCATTTTCGCACCGATAACACAAACATACTGATACTTAAAACGCAATAACTTCACTTCCAAGCAATGAAATGTCATAGAGTTCTCACTGGACAATCGATAGAGATAGATGTTTACTTTGGAACGCACCTTGTATTTATCTCAGTTAGAACTTTTTTCCGACAGAACCTCTAGTACATTGGTACACATACTCTATAAAAAACTGTCTATCACACATCTTGTCGCCCAATGGAAACCGAATTATGAAAGCACTGTTAGAATAAAACTCATTTTATGCCACTAAATTGCTTTTAAGTTTCCAACACGTAATTTTTCTGTTTTTTGTCCCAACTTTTTTGTCACTTTCCAAGTTATTTGCTACCTTTTCCATATTTTCTAAACATTCGTGCACAAGTTTTGGCCAAACTTTTTTCCTGCTCATCGTGGAGTCCATATTTTTATGCAATTTTACCACCCATTCAGCCATTCAGCAAGTTATTTGTTATTGTCATGCTGACGGAAACTGGCAGTTTTTCGGAAATGTTGGCGAATTTCTCAAATTTCGCGAAAAATGCAATGACTTTGGCGTTTTGCCCGACGGCCAACAGTAACAACACCACAAACCATTGCCGAATTGGCGTTCGACAAGTTTGCGGTGTGAGGAAACTTCTTGTTGTTGGCACTATCGGCGTTGGCGTTAGTATTGTTGTTGCTTTTTGGCAAAGCTGTTGTTGCTGCCAAAACTGTGAAAGAAATCGTCTTTTAACTTTTTTCATTACAAATAAACGCTTGGCAGCACTGTGCGGTATAGAAAGCGAAATAAACAAGCGTCAATATTTTACTTCATATGTTTGTATTTTGGTATACACGTATCTGTATGTTGTACCGTTCTCCATAAAATAAACTTACGGCAACACCTTTGGCAGCAATACAGTGCCAGCACAATACGGCAGCCAGTTCATACGTTATGAATTTTTCACAGACACTCGCATACCTTCGCAGCGGGTGACTGTGCCACATGCTACAAAAGCATGAAGGTGAATAAAATCTGTTTTCAACATTCGGCTGCAGATTATTACTTATACATACATATGTACTATAGTAAATGAATTTTATAAAGTGCTGACACCAATTTCGAAATACGAATACATGAACGAAGGTAGTTCGCTAAGCCAAACTTAAAAAAATGTGCGCTTCAGTAAATAGTATATGTTGCTCTTTTTACAATAGCTTATCGCATTTATTTATTTTTCATGCAAAGTTCCTTTCTAAGAATAGAATAATGCATAGTGAGCTATGGTTTATTGCACCTTCCTCTCTTAGACAGAGACTCACATTGTTGTCTCAGCACTATAATAATAATAATAATACCCAACGATTACCCTCCTCCCGCCCAACCGACGCGAGGGTCGCAATCAATAAAATACCAATATTCTGGTCAGACGTCACTGAGTTAATATAGGGTGCACATATTTCGGATTTATATCCGCGTCAATCAAGAGGCCTGAGTTTCAGGTTCCATGTCGCAGAACCGTCAGTTTACATAAGAGACTATATCCATGTTTAATAGTTGACCGTCATAAGTTGCAGGTAATGGCCGCAGTTTATCAAACCTGTAATTATCTGCCAGCATCTATGTCTATTCACTCTCAGCTCTTTTATAATGTGAGCACCCACCGCGGAAAAGAGATGTGCTCTCTTCTAAAGTTTGGTTTTCTGATGGCTAATGGGATCTTTGTCTTACCATATCATCAAATTTGAATTTTAGACCGTCTGAGAAAAACATTTTTTATTATTTTTATGATAAAGCTTTTGGTGGTCAAACGATGTATTAAAATTTAGATTGAGGTGGTCTTTATTTCATTCTAAGAGCTTCCTTTTAAGACGCCATTCGATTTTTAGTATGTTTATCGCTCTCTTCAAGGCAACCATAGATCATGTGGTCAAATTCTGGCTGTTAAAAAGGACGTTCCTCATCTTTTTTGGAAAACATCTCTCTCAAAAGTTCCACTCGTTCTCCTTTACAAAAAGTCCTAATTCTGTGTAGGTCTGTTAGCAATATATTAGAAATCAGCTGTGTCAGTCAATGTTACTCAGGAGAAAGCGCAATAGAGCTTAGGTCGCGGTGCAAACCTTATTTATTTAAAGTATTTTTCAAGTCTGCTGGTGGTATATTTCATACCCAAAATATTATACCATATTACCATATGAAGAGAACCTCTGCTATAAGCATTGAATTCTTTGCGAAGAACCTTTTTGAATTTTTCGATGCTGACACATCGTTGCTAACAGATGTGATGGAACCACTAGCATAAGATAATTTTTTAAGATCTACGCCGAATACTTCATTACAAAGTTATTTTGGAGTACACTTTTATATCTAGACAAGGCCAATTCTTTTGTCTGATATAACAGCTTGTATTTCGAGAAGTTATTATACAAAAAAAAATGGCAAAAAGTGGTTTGACTCCATTCCAAGTTTTCGTAAGTGATTACGTAGGTTGTCTTTTATATTTTGGGATTTGGTAACTCTGAAGATTGACACTTTGATATACATACTCAGAATGTTTTGTCATACGAGCGGTATTTGTGTTGTTTACAGTAACTTGAAATATTCATCTCAGACAATAATGAAATTAAATCGAGTAAATTTCCACGAGATTCTTTTCAAAAAACTTCGAACTGGAAAATCTCAGTAATAGTGCGTCAATGAAATTAATTTCATTTCACCAGTGTTTATCGATGATATGATGAGTTCAATCAAAGACTCGCTCACTCCAAGACGAATTTCGTCAAGTTTTTCCGCAATTGTTGATGTTCCAGAAACGTTATTCGGTGCAATATAACTTTTTTTCCCGTACGTTAAAAATAAACTAAAGGGTTAACGTTTTATGTCTTTATACGTCGATAAAGTCCATACACTCTACATACGAAATATTCTATTGCTCTCTTATTTAAATTACCATTCTTTTGCCATCTATTCTCTTTTTTATTTTATTTCAATTATTTCGGATTTTACAATTCATTTTTGTATTCTCTAATTCCTTTATAATTTTTAATATATTTTATTTTATTTTCATATAATATAAAAGTATTTATTTCATGTATCCGATCCCTATTAATAGTTTCACTCTTACTCTTACTCACTTCCGCTCGGTTAATTAACATAATTTGCATTCAGTCAAAGCGCTCAAACCGTCCTCACTGTCGACGAAATCCCATCTTATCAACGGAGCTTCATTTTAAGCGAATTGAAGCCACGATTTTAACGCGCTCATCAACACAACCGTCAGCGTTGTTGTTGCTCCACGCAACTACATAGACAATATGCTGTCGTTTTTTAGAGTACGGCAAGTTGCCAGTGCCACATCAGCTGCTGTTATGGTATTATCCCAGCGGCATAATGACCGGTATGAAGTATCAACGTCGCAGGAAATCCCACCAACAACTTATATTTTTCAACGCCCATCTGTAATTTCTCCTTTCCTTTACATTTCATTCCTCTCTTGTCTGTGCACAACTCTCCCTGTCGTCAGGTATCGCCCTTGCTTTCGCTGTGACAATCAGTACGAGTTTGGTATATACATACGCTGTGTTCGCATCCTAATTAAGTCGTGCCCAGTTGATAGCAATTTCACAGCGTAGTCGGGTATGAAATGATGTAAATTTGATATTTGCACTTTAATTATCTGCAAGTTTCGGAGTTTGATTATAGATTTCTGAGTGGAAAAAAGAAAGAAATGACTCAGTTTATGGAAGTCGGAGGAGTAGTTTAGGAGATATCCTACACCTAAATGGAGACGGTACCTTTTTTTTTTGCCCAAACCTTAAATTTATAGCGTTTTCAGTATAAGTATTTTGTCAACAATACAAGGTGTTTAAAAAATAACGTTTTCGTTTTCTAAAGTGTATGTGGCGTTTATTTCGAAAGTCAATTATAAAAAATAGATTTATTTCGTAATAGCTCACGTTTATTCAATACCTACTCCAATCTGCTCCTATAATTTGGATCATTTTCTTTATGCAGTATCCAATTATGTTTATTTTTGTCGTAAAGCATTTCAGCTAACTTCCCTTTTTATATCATTTTATGATTTAGGTGTTATGTGAAGCACCTCAAAGCTCTGCTCATGGATTTGAGATGAGCAGAGATGCATCCTTAAACGTTCGTCCTTTCCTTATCCAAACACTTGTCAAGGAGTTTAACCACACAAAAGTTGACTAATATAGAAATAGGACATTTCTCCCATCGCAATTGACGTTATCATGCGCTAATACAAATTTTCTTCAATGTGTGCTTATGAAAGTAGGGGTTTGATTACAGTACTGCTGCGTTAGATGACAGATCTCTGGAGTTTTTCCCGTATTGTGTTTAGAGATCAATGTTATGCCTTACTATACAAAATTTTTTAGCTTCCCTTATACTGAGCAGTGATTTCTTCTCAAAAATGAGAAGAATTGCTAGGTCTACAAGTTTCATCGAAATATGTCAATTTTACTCAAGACGGACGGACGGACAGACAGTCAACCGACTTACAACTTTTTTCATCATCCTAATCATTTATGCCCCTGTCAAGAAAATATCGGGAATTTTTTATTTTCCCTCTCATCTCTCGGATATATGGAAGACAGATAAATTTTTTGGTTGTTAAGCAAACTCAAACGAACGGGGAAACCGTTTTGAATCAATTGAAAACATCAAAACAAGTTCGACGCGAGAGCTAAAGTCCATCCCAGAAAGTGCCTATAAAAATATTTTGACAATTGGAAGAAGCGTTGGCATATGTGCATCGCTTCAAATGGATGTTACTTTGAAGGCGATAAGATAAATTCGGATGATGATTGAAAAATTTTCGTTTTATTTATAAATTTCTGATACTTTCTTGACAGGGTGTATAACGCTATATCTATTTCGTTTAGTTTTAGATGATACATACGTCTGTAAACAAAACTAGAAAATTATTATATTTAGTGCGTAACAAAAGTTTCATAGAGCCTATTCAATTGCCTGACGACATCCTTTACATTTAAACCTTAATCATTTAATTATTGATTGTACAGACAGAGGATCAAACAGTTCGATATGCATAGGTAGTTGGATACTTATATTTATGACAATTAAAAGATCTCAACTATTGTAGCAAATTGTACTTATATAAATTTGGAATATATTTTGAAATAATTGTGTCATAGGGGCTTATGCTTCTGCAGCTTCGCTTATCAAATTTTGTTTACTCCTTTGTACAAAAGGCAGACAAAATATGGTGACTGAGCTCGCTTTGATAAATTTTAAATATATTTCATTTTAATAGTAAATTTTAATACAAGAATTGTTCGAAAATTATTAATCTTATAAATATTAAGAGTTCCGGAACTCAATAAAAAATTAAAATGCAAGGCATGTAACAACCCTGCTATTGCATTTTTAACAACCGGAAGAAACTTTATATGACTCTTCGAAATCATGTATTCAATGTGTGACCAAATTCTAAACATCCACAATTTTTACTTAATTTTATACACTAAACTTTTTGCCAAATAAAATTATTATGGAAACAATGTCACCGTACTTCTGGGAGTTAAAAATCGGCTTTAAATTTCAATATGCACACAGATTCCCTATTTTTCTCGTTTTTTATTTTGAAATGTTTCAATTTATTTCAGTCGTCGATTAGCCACATTACCAGTGGATTGTTTAATTTTTTATTTCCCTCTGGCCAGTGCACGGACAACGTAAAAATTGATTGGGTTCTCAATTATTCAAACTATCAAATAACAGTCAAAATGTAACAAAAACATAGAGAACCTACACGTTTTGAAATTACTTTTTGTTTCGCTTGTATTTGAAAACATATACATGAATCTAAATATATTTGTGTGAGGTTGTATTGGGATTTTTATTACAGGTGACTACGCTTACAATATATATATTAATGTGGGTTATATATGTATATACATATGTATTTATTTCGAAGTGATAACACCAAACCGCTTGTTCTGTCGACCGAAAATAATTCATTGGGTAAATAGTTAATACATGTAAGGATGGCCTACATTTGGGTTCAACCGAAGATTTTGTATTCTCCGAAACGGGTTTTTCAATAAGAGCGCTACCAAATTTTTTGAAATGAAATTTTTTATAAATAAAGGAAATAAAGTATTAAAATTATAATAAAACTCAACAGGACAGTTTCAGGCAAGAACTTTTATTTAAAGACTAATTTTTTTTATTTATAAATGTTTCTTTTAAATAAATGTTTTTGCGAGAAAATCAGGATTTCTAAAATAACTTTCTTTTAGTAGAATAAATTTATTTATATTTATCACTGATCACAATTATAACTGTATGTTTGAAATATATGCATTTGAATCACCCTGTACTCGTATCTGATAGTCTACAGTCCATTACAGCTCTACAGCTTTGAAATGCAATTGAAAATATTAATATCATATGTATTTACACATACACACACAACCATTAAATCGCTTTACCGATGTGTCTTTGCGTGGAAATGAATTTTTCTGGGGTGTTCTTTGCTTTGAAACGCGAAAGAGTGCATGCCAGCACCACGCAGTAATTTCCGTTACATGCAAAGCGCAAAAAATTCATCTCAAGCACAGTGTGTCATCAATTTCCTTCAAAATAATTTATAAACAAGTATAGTACGCGCTTAGCTCTATCTATTGACCTCCCTGTGCGCTCACAAACATATTTACTATACGTTGATATGCAATTTTTTCATATGTATGCTTTTTCTATTTCTCTGCAATTTGTAATGCTTTCCGGTGTGCCACATTGGACGCAATGCCGCTCGATCTCGACCGTTCACCATCGGCAATGTCCGCCTGTCATGCAACACTACGGATTGCGCTACAAATACCGCAAACTCACTCCTGTGTGTCACCCTGTAGTATATGTGTCACGGTCGTTGTGCTCAACATACACTTCCGCTCGCCGCAGACACATACGATGGCACCCTGGGTGCGAACGGTGTTCATCAATCAACTGCCTCGCTTTTTGGTCATACGGCGACCACTCTACCCTATTAGTGAGATGATGTGAGTTCGAAACCAATACACGTACAACAATTTAATTAAATAATTCAATGAAATATTTTTTATAAATATTTAATTACTTTGTATTTGCTTTTTCGTGCAGCAAATCATCGCGTCGCCTGATGGTTCGCACTTGCAACGGATTTGATTTGGGCGACCAAATACCACCGGTACCACCACCAGCGGCCTTGTCTAGGTACTAGTTTATACCATAAAGACTGCTCTTTAACTCAGCTTTCGCTTTACTGAAAACTAACCTCTTCATAAACCTCTTTGAATACTTATAGAATGCATCACAGCCCCAAGACAACGTCGCGCAGTACCTCGCCACATCTGCAGCATCGTGTACAAAGTCTAAATATACTGGACGACACGACGATTGGTGGTCTGGGTTTCAGTACCACCGGCACTGCGTCCGTAGCTGGTCAGTTTTCTACACTTTACCCCTCCAATATCTCGACGGTGAATCAACAAACATCGACTACATCATCGCTCGTGGATGCACAACATCATAGTCAATATCAACAGACTGGCGGCTCACTGCTCGATCATCCATTGACGCCAACGAAATTTCGCCAACAAAAGACTTCCACTTCGGTACAGACGAACGGTTACGACGGGCCATCCACCTCACAGTTCGGCCGACTGAACCAGCAACACCAACAACAACTGCCCATCGGCGCCATCTCGGCGTCCACTTCGACGCTACATCACGTCCACACGCATTCGGTGGGTGTGGGTGGCGGTGTAGGTTTCGGTGCGGCCAGCACCTCTACACACCATCTGTATCGCCAACAGTCAGCGTCCTCTGCACAATTTTCGCCCGTTCCAGCACCACTGCATCCCCATCAGCAACATCAATCGACCACGACGTGCGATCTGCTGGGCCACAGCAATGCAAATGTGATAAAGTCCACGACCACCGTGAACTCGGTGGCGACCGCTTCGACGCTGGCGGACTCTTGTTGCAGCGGCATACACCAGGGTGCGGGTGCTGGTGCGGCCTGCCAATCGTCTGAACAGCCACCGCATCAATATGCCACAACTGGTGCCGGTGGCATTGGCGTTGGCGGTGCGCAAGGAGCCGCTGGTGGCGCCCTGCCGCGTGAAATACTGCCAGCGTGTCAGCGAGATGGTGGCACGCACTGTTGTCTAACGGGCGAAAAGGGAGGCTGCTTTAGTGAAACGCGGCATCATTGGCATGCCTGTCCCGAACTGCGAAAAGCTATGGAAGGTGTGAATTATATAGCGGAGCAAACGCGCAAGGAGGAGGAAAGCACAAGGGTGAGTACAAAGATCTCCTATTACTCTCACATTTTTATTGGGGCTTCTAAATACAAACAGCATGTAAAAAACGCGGAGGTCTTCGCTTGGCGATTAGTTGACCAAAAAGCGTATTCCGGCCAATAAACCTCGAAAGGCCATTAATAAAATTTTGCAATAATAGCGGTGCCGGTCGTAAATTAAATTGTTTGTATGTGGGTGTGGCATACGCGACACCGCTGCGCTAAGTCTGTGAAATTTATTGGGCAACGTTGACCGTTAAATAAAGATATCTGCAGACTGGACTGCTCGAAAATGGTCCTCCTCGCCGACGAACAGCTCAACGGCCGGACGCGCTACGTAAAGAGAGATGTGACTAATGCAGTCAGTACACAATTATCGCAATTTTTTTTTAAATGTTCACGAAAACGAATACACAACAATTAACGTACCATGACTAACGGTATTTATTGGTAGTTAGCAAAATTATTTTTTTCCCCCTAAAATATTTCTCAATTTAGTAGTAATAAATGATATTAGAAACGAGTGTAATAGTATATTGCCAATAAAATTATTCCATGAATTCGAAAATTATGTTAGCTCTACTGCTAAAACAGGAATGACCTTTAAATTTAACTTAACTTAAACTGAAAAAACTTTTAGGTTCAGCACATGTTCTAACAAAACTCGATTTTATTTTCCAACATAGTTTTTATTGAGATCTAAACATCGAATATAACGATTTCCTAACTTTCCGATAACATTTTAAAATACACTTTGTCCTTACTTCTCATTGCCACTTAGTTTAATTCAAACGAGTATTTCTTTGCGGTCTAAGGGTAGGAATAAATCACTAGTTGCAAGATCCGTAGAAAACGGTCGACCAAACTCCAAGCTAGTGCGTTGTTGAAGCAATTTTCAAATTTTTTTACTGCATATCTTGATGGAACAGCGCTTTGTTAGTTATTCTTCAGTTGAGGGAACTTTTTTTTGGATTTCATCCCAGTTGAAGGTTTTACGTTTTTAGGATGAAAATATTCCGTACATACATATCCAATATTGTTGCAACCCTTCCAGTCTTTACATTTGATTCATTCATTCCATGAAGTTGAATCACTACGGATCTTAGATCACATGTCTATGCAATAATTTGTCTTTGTTGGGGTTGAATAGCTCCTAAGACTGCTGAGAATAATCAATTTGTTATTGGTCTTGCACAGTTCACATATCCATATATTGATTAACAGTAAGCTCCACTTTCTTCGTTTTATATTTTCAACACATGAGTTACATATCTTGACATTATTTTATTTTCATCCGTAAAGTCCTCTTCTGAAAATCCACTGCGTTTGACATCTCAATGTTCATATAGTACCATTTTTTCCAAAAAGGTATTCTCTCAAATTTGGAAGGGTTTAATGATATTACCTTTTTATAAACTTTGCTATGACCTTTCACGTCAATCACCTAAAGAAAGAAATAAATGGAAGTCTCATTTTGCTGTTCCCTATGCTCTCACGTTGAGCCATAAGATATTTGTATATACGGCTATGAGAAAAAAATAGTAAGACTTTGCTCATAAATAGCTTCGCGCAAACGATGCATAACACTCAAATAGTATTCAATTCGCCAGTCAGAAAGAATTCTGAGTGAACCACACCTTGACAATCCAAGAAAACACGTTCGGCTTCGGCTCACCTTTGTGACGATATTAGCTTTATTATTAGTTAGCATAGATTCAAGACTCATAGCCAGTAATAATACGTTTCATAACATGCCCATAGCTTTCCGACTATCTTTAATTCACAGAAGTTAACACGACATTTTTTCGAAAAAATTTAATGATTTCGGAACCAATCGTGCTTTCACTTTACTTAGGCCCAAATGATCTTTCAAAATGGTTTTCATTGATCCTTCCGATATTCCAACGATGCCAGTAAGATCTCCGACTATCAAACGTCAACTCTTAAGTCTTACTTTATTGACGTATTGATCATCAATTGATGTTGTTGACCGTCTTAGATGTGGGCGTATCACCGCAGGAATTTTTCCATTCCCAGACACTTGATTCCGCACACAAAATTTAGTGGAACTTCTTTGTTGAATAATTTCACTTATCGAAAAATCGCCGATTACTCTTAATGTACTTCAGAAAGACAAGCGTATACTAAACACTAATGACTAAGTATTATATTTTTATGTAACATTTTTCACAGATTTTGCTGAGGGTCATTCCAACCTAAAAAAAAAAATATTTCGATGAATGGTCTTACTTTTTTTTTTGCCTATTGTGTATATCAATCACCTACAGTGTATATCACCTCTATGGTGATAACTAATATACTGATATATCTTAAATATAATATGTTTTTTCTCTTTAATCTTAAAATTTGAGCCAACCTGTTCATTTAGCTTTGTAAGACTTATTACTATGTCAAAAACGGTATATAGCAGTGGAGATCAACCCCTGCGGTTTTACGATTTTTTAAGTAGTTAGCAATTATTAAGTAGTTCCAATATTTTTTGTACGTTGGCATATTGGTCTTGTTATTTTGTTCTTTTGACCAATCCATTGTCTTAATAACTTTACAAGCTTTTTCAACATTGCAATATCTGTCTATCATCTGAAATCTAATATTACTTACTTTCTTGAAATATGAAACGTTAATGACATTACATTGCGCAGCTCCAGCTTCATATAAATGTATTAATGTGGTACATGTAATGATAAAAACACATTTTTTATCTTTATTCAATCATTTCACTTCAATATCATAAATTTTTGAGAACCTTTTAAGCTTTTAGTTTCCAACCTCAAACTAAATTACCATACATCATAAGTAGTAGGAGGAAATTAAGTGTCGATTCAGAAGTTCAATACTATATAAATCTCTTAAATAAAAATTTTTACAAATAAAAATTCGCAAAGTTCCTCAATTGGATTTTTCTGCAATTAGTACTGAATGTTTAGCATTCGATTTTGATAAACTTAACCATTTTTCATTTTCTTATACGAGCATACGCTCTCATGTAAAACAAAGTTCAAGGTCATATTTTTTAACCAATTCGCTATGTTTATATTTAAACTTATTTATATCTCGGTGGCATTACTTTTACTTTGTTTTCAACACAAGAGTCAAAACCTTCGAAATTCCGCATTATTTGGTTAGTGTTTAAGCGCTTGTCCCCCTGCCCTATTTCCCTCCAGCAGGTACTATAAGTAATTCGTGTGGTTTACAATACCTAAGTACTCCAAGGCGTTGTCTCTTTCCTCCCTAAGTATTATCCATATTTGCATTTTATGTTACTTCTTTGTTGACTTGTTGTTATTGTGTGGCATTTACATATTTGTTTGTTTATGCGCCTCAACAACATATTCTATCTGCGGATTACGCCATATCATGGCTTTGAGCGCTAGCGCTTGTTAAACAGAGCACACTGCAAAGCTACTTTATGACTTGTAAATGCTAAGCTGCAAAGAAAAACATGTATAAGACGGCTTTATGCACACTTTGCACAGCATGGCATTAGTACTTGTAGCATAAAAGCTGGAGGGACGAGCTTCCAAGCTTCACTAAATATTACAATATAGCGACTTGTTGAACGGAGAGGGACGAGGTGGAAGGACCAAGCCTGTAGTTAGTATGGTACGTTACGGTCAAGGTTAAGGAAGAGTAACGGGTTTATTGCATTCGTTGAGGTTCGAAAGCAATACATACGGTTTTTTGTTTTATCTCTTTTTTTATACTCATCCTGTGAACCCCATTCGACGCATCCTTTAAAATTGACATGCGAACATTTTGCATTGCTGCTGCGAAAGTCTGTTGCTGCAGCACCTTCCACATGCACCCACTACTGCATCCACGAACTACTTGTCATTCATCATTGTCACAAGCTGAAGGACCAACGCCATCAATGTCGTCGAGGCACGCAGGCAACGGCAAAACCAATACAATCACCATTAAAGTTGGCACCAGCACCAGCACCAGCACCAGCACCATCACCATCACCAGCAGCAAGCAACAGCCAACACCCACACCAGCACTAGCAATAACAAAACAAAGCGGCATAAGTACCGCTATATGGCGCGCACGCTCCTCGCTGGAGCACTGAAGCGCGACATATTGACTAAATACCGTCATCGTTATCATCGTCATATGCTTGCTTAAACTACAATAACAACAAAATCTCATCATTTTTATTTCACTTATTGGTGCAGTAGTTGCAATGCGATGAAAAACACCAACAACAACAACAATAACTACTCATTGCTCATTGGTGGCACGCTTAATCGCGCTCATCGCTCCTTTTGATGACCTTGCTTTAGCAATATCCTGTCAATTCCACTCGAATGCAATATTTCATTCATCTATCTTCAATAATTCCAAAAGCTGTTTTAATAAATATGAACAAAAATAACAAAAACTGCTGAAAAAATAGACCGCAAAGTCACTCCGAGTTGTCGCAATCGTCCGTCGTCTTGTACGAGTATCGCAACTGAATGGATTGGAAGTTATTTGTAGCGCATAATGAATGAGTGAATGAATGCATAGCCGAATGAATAGGGGCACAGCTCGGTATAAATTGCCGTTCGGGCGTTGCTGCCAAACATTTTGTGTAGTCGATTTGGCGAAAAGCAAATAAACACAACAACAAAACGATGAAAGACAACAAATATTTACCAAAGTGACGACAGAAGTGGGGTCCAAGCAAATGGAGGACAAAATAAAACCATAAAAGCAATAACGATGAAGTGCAAAATGCAAAATATCCCAAATATATCTACTTATGGTTTAAGTTAACGGAAATGCATATCACTTTATATGCCTTTTGAGAAATATTTGCATTAGGGTGAGTCAAAAAACTACCCAAGATTGATCCATTCATAAGGTCCATAATTTTTGGTTTGAATAGTAAGGTTTACTTAACATAGTTAGAGTTATTTTGAAAAAAAAAACACTGTTTTGTTCGTAGCACCAATCAAGTTCACTGAGCTTCAGGCGCGTCACTATCGATTTGTGTGGCCTTACGTTGCAGCGAATACAATTGTCTGCTATTGTGCAAAACGGTCCACTAATGGGCGATTGCTTACTTTAAACGGTTGTATCAAACATACACCAAAGCCTTCCTGTCAGTCAATTCTAGCAGGACCACCGTTTGCACCTACTCGCCATCCGCTTCAGATATAGATCGTTTTTATTTCGATTCGCATATGGAAATTCAATCTAAGAATTTTTTTCTTTAGTTTGTGTGACACCCATACATCGAGCCTCTTGTGAGATCCAGCCTAATTTAAATGGTACGACGAAACCAAAGTTCAACGTCCACAATATCAGGGCCTTAATAGTAATTCACGCTTTCACCTCCCTGGCTTGCATTTACATTATCTCCAACGTTTCAAAAAGACCTTGGGTGATAATTGTTTGTTGCGAGCAAGTGGTTTTGATTTGATTGGTACAAATTATTCAAAGACGGTAGAGAATGTGTTTGTAACGTCCAGGACGGTCATCAACATCAACTGATGATCAACATGTTAATAATTGATGCTTGAAAATCGACGCATAAAAGTCAGAGATCTTACTGACATCGTTGGAATATCGGAAGGATCAGTGAAGGCCGTTTTGCAAGATCATTTGGGCCTAAGAAAAAAGAAAGTACGATTGGTTCCAAAGTCACAATTTTTTTTTTTTTTTTTTTTTTTTTTTTTTTTTTTTTTTTTTTTTTTTTTTTTTTTTTTTTTTTTTTTTTTTTTTTTTTTTTTTGAAAAACTGTCTCATGAAACAATTTTTTCCTACTACCAGGATGTTATGAAACGTGTTATTACTGGCAATGAGTCGATGAGTCTTGGATCCGTGCTTACGACCCGGAAAAATAGATCAATCAGCCGAATATCGTGGCAAAGGTGACACGAAGCCGAACAACAACCTACGTCAAAGCAAGTTACAAATGAAAGTTATGTTAAGAGTTTACTTCGATTATCGAGGTGTGGTATACTCCGAATTCTTTCCGACTGGCCAAACTGTCAGCAAGGAATACTATTTGACTGTTGTGCGTCGTCTGCTCGAAGGATAATGCACCTTCGCTTACTGGATTGATTCTTCGTGAGTTTTTCGCCCAATTTTCAGCCAATATCATACCGCAACCACCGTATTCGCCTGATATAGTTCTGTGTGACTTCTGGCTATTCAGCAAACTCTATGACTATTCTATTCTTCTTGACTTTAACAAATGTTTCAAATAATGGGAAAAAACGTTAACACATGTACATTGGAGCCAAGGTGGACTACTTTGAGGGGAATAGATTTTGTAAACCAAATTAAAAACTTTATAATTATGGACAAAGTCTTACTATTTGTTGCTCAAAGTATATACTATAACTTTTAAAAACAGCTGAAAATAGTATTATTTAAAATTCTTAAAAATATTTAAAAACAATTAAAAAAGTTCAGTATTACCGGTTTTACAGCACTTTTACAAAATAAATATGAAAGTGAAAATATGGATATAATATAATAGTAATATACCCATTATGTGCAATTGAGTCATTAACATTTCTATATCCTCTATTATTGCAAAGAGTATTAATCTGCGGAGTACAACCCACTGTGTCGCATAAAAATGTACTTATGCCGCATCACTGGAATCACGGTGGCAAGTGCCTGAAGCGAGTAACTGCCGGACATCGTTATTGATTTTTTATTTTTATAGCTTAACAGAGTTTGCGCTATTCCTCGCATCTTCCGCCCTGGCAATTGCAGTGCCAATATCAGCGCGAAATATTTTTATGTATTTTTTTTCAATTACATCGCTGGAGCTGGCACCGCTCTATTCTCTTTTAGCTCGTTCCATATTTTACATCTTTATCACTTGCAGCTGAACTTTGAATTTATTAATTATGTGTACTGCGCTATGGACTAGATTCGTGAAAGTTTAATCATGATAGAGCAAATATTTACTTTGAACGTTCAGTTTGTTTATTTAATGCAGGAGGAGAAATTACGTATTCAATTTTAATTTTAATTTTAATTTTTTTTTTTTTTTTATCTGTAAAGTATTAATCAAGAAGACTGACTACCAATAATATCGTTCCATTAAATAATTTATTAATTGTTATACATAAATATTTTTTGTAATTTTTGTTGTTCTTCAAAAATCCTCCTGCACAAATTTTTATACAGTACTTTTGTAAAGGGTGATCCATCCATTCAAGGTTCCCTATTTTTTAAAGAAGATACACAAAAACTTTAAATTTTATGACAAATGTTTATTAACATTCGAAGAAACACTCTTCGGCATTTATTTTTCGAAGATTATCTCTTTCAAATGTTGGCAGTGGCCACGTCTCAGATCATCCGTTGAGTCCAATTTTCGCTGACTCGTTCAAGCATTTCGAGTGGTAACTGGCGAATGATATACATGATGTTTTGCTCCAAAGCTAGAATCGAAGCGGGATTATCCGCATAGACTTTAGACTTTACATACCCCACAAGAAAAAGTCTAACGTAAACGTGAAATCATCTGCTCACCGAAATGTTCTCTCAATAAATTCATTGATTGATGCGATGTGGGTTAAGTGACGCCCGTATTCTTGAAACCAAATGTCGCCGTGATCACGAACTACAATATCAGGACGCAAATAGTGAGTTATTAAGGCGGAATAACGGCCGCAATTGACGGTTATATTCTCATTGGCACCAGAAGTATGTAGCGATGATTCCAGGGACAGATTTAAGGTTGAGGAATTCACTGCGAACAATGGTCTATTGTTCAATTTCCCTTTTCACAACACTTCGTTTAATTCAATCGAATTTTAGTAAAGCTCCTGAGTTAATGGTTTTAATATGCTCTCTCACCGGATTCATTTACCCATTAACCTGAATCCTTTTTCTTGGGGGGCACCCGGGCGGTATGGGGTTTGGTATATCTACTCTTTGGTCACAGAAGCGACAAAGATCCGTGGAACAGTATTTATTCTGTGCTCAGAACACATTATCTTGGAGTGATTTCAAATTCCACAGCTTATTTATTATTCGTGAGAACGATTAGTTTCTAGAACTCTTGACCTTAGATGGCAAATCACCAATTGTTTTCAGAAATGTTATATGAGTTTCTATAATTTTTTAGTTCGAAGCCTTTTTACCTAAAATGAATTTTATTTCACACTTTAGCAATATAAAACAAATCTTAATAAAAGGTCTGAAAAATTACCTTTGATTGATTTATAACTTTCTATTCAACGATTTTCTACAATGACTTGCACTCATTCTGTAAACATCTTGATTGCAAGAAGCGAGATTTTGACAAATATATCCTTTTTCTCTTTATTGCACAATAGGTCAAAGAAGATTGGAAATACGTGGCCATGGTATTGGATCGTCTATTCTTATGGTTATTCACAATAGCCGTTGTCGTTGGTACGGCCGGAATAATATTGCAAGCGCCGACGTTATACGACACGCGCGTACCAATCGATATTAAATTGTCGGAAATTGCAACGACAACAGCGAAACCGAGCATTGCCAAACCTGTGTTATAAAAACAAATTGCAAAGAAACCAAAACAAAAACAAAAAACGAAAACAAAAGCAGTAACGGAAACAGAAACCGCAACAGAAACAGAAGCAGAAAACATAAAGTAGTTTCTTAATGCAACAACAACAACAACAATAAATAATAAGAAGAACGTTAAAAGTAATTTAACATAAAGTGCTTAGAAGAGATAACAAATGCTCGTACACTACATAAATTAAGTTGCATGTAAAAAAAACAAAAAAATAAACATACATAAACATACCTAAACATAACCTAAGAAGCAAAAGCAGAAGCAGGTGGAAGGCAGCAGTCAACTGAAATATATACATACCTACAAGCATATACATATACCAACATAAAAACAGCAATAAAGGATTAATCGTAATAAAAATGGACTTGCAAGCAAATAACAACGCACTACACCATCAACAACAACAAAAAACAACAACTAATCATGTAAGTTATATAATAAAGCATTACAAATACAACTACTATTAATACCAACTAACTAACTACTATTAAATAGTTAATACCTACTAATGCTACTAATAATGTAATAAGTAATTACCATACTTGTAGTGATTACATGTGTATAATACAACAATGTTTACTAACAATTACAATAAAACAAAAACTCAAGCAGTTGATACGAACCAATTACTAACATATAGACCTAACACTGTACAGCATAAATATGTAATTAAATGCCAAACGCGATCCATTTGTATGTATATGTAATGATTTTGGAGGGTAATTCGAATGCAGTATAGTATTGAAAATGTATAAATGCCAAGTACCACTAATACAACTAAAATTATTAGAACAAAACCGAACTACTATATTAGTAACTAAATAACACAATGGAAAACAAAATCATGACAAATGTTGCAAGTAAAGTGTATGTACCATGATTAACCGGCCGGCAGTTTGCGGAATGCAAAATCATGCTCAAGCACGACTCCCAGGTGCATTTGGGCATAGTAACATTTATTATAAGTAATTATGTAATATTATAATTAGGTAATTTGTAGAGCATATACACAGTATTTACATATGTATAAATTATTATATATTGTATGAGTTTCTGAGCATATATGTGTGTGTGTGAGTGAATGAGGGACTGACTGTGAGGTTGGAAGGCTAATTGTTTTACTATTGAGCTGCTGTTATCATTCTAGAAGCAATTGTTATTATAATTGTATATTGTCATATGGAGACTAGTTGAACTAGCCACTTTAATTACACAGAACTTGATGATAATTTTAAAGTCGCACCGAACAAAAAAATTTTGCAGTTCTTTCTAATTGTGCTATGAGTACTGCCGCAGCTATTTTGTTAAATTTCAATACAAAGCAAGAATTTTCAAATTCATAAAAAATATCTTTCTTCGAAGGGTCTAATACTACCTAAGCTACATGCCACTAGCATATGAGGTTTGTTCAAGAAGTCTCGCAATTTTGTTATTTCTTAAGAAAGTGTTTATTTATTCTTGAAGATCTATTTTGTTTCCTTCAAAGTAGTCAACTCCAAAAGCAATGCACTCTGCTAAAGTTTTTTCCACTTCTAAAACCACTTCAAAGCATAATATTTTGTGATCTTGTTTAGACCCTTCTTCCTGCAGTTTATATCTCTTCAATCGCGGCGTATCGTTGTATTATCATAGACCTCTTCAATTTTGAGAACAAAAAGGTCACATGCGGCCAGGTCTGGGGTATAGGGTGGCTGCGGTACTATTACTGTGTTGTTTTTGACCAAATATTTGCACACAAGCAGCGATGCGTGAGCAATAGGTAAACAATTTATGCGCATGGCATTGCTCTCCTCCATACATCTTGACCTAATAATTATCATTTCCGCTTATTATTGTCTCCAGTTATTTATGACAAGTAAATCTTGATTATATAATTCATATCCAATTCCTGTGAAAATTGGCTTTTATCGAAATAAGTACATATTTACATTTTGGGCTTCACATACTAATATCATTTAAGTTATGTTTTATGGGATTGTCAATGGTCTTGTGACTTCATTCATTAGTCAAAGTGTCAATCAACTTATCAAGCTCAAAGTATGTGTCAAGCATGGTTTTGTTAAAGATATTTGAGGAAAATGACAATTATACAAATTGTGTATTTTAAGTGCAATATATTTGATTCATATTCCTACATTGACTTCAAAACCATAATGCAGAACAAATATTATGTTCAATGTGGCTTAAGGACTCATATAAAAGCTACAAAATACGTATACGACTATATAATTTGTAAATCCTATATACATCATTAGAACTTGCAACTTTAATAGATATCTGGCAGAGCTTTTTACGCCAAATCTTTAAGGCCATGTTTAAACCCTAGTGAATTTATGTTCGTGCTCACTAAACAACTGCTTTTAATTCGTGTTGAAATTGGGTATCGAACCCATGAATAACGAAACGAAGACGCACAATTCTAACCACTGCACCAACTGCATACAATCCTATAACATGAAAGTAACGGAAACATAAGTGGTATATGAAACTGTAGCATAATGTGCTGTTCACACAAAATTTCCTGAATCAAGGTTTCGAAACGCGTCAAATAGTAGTTTCTTTTTTAAAAAATGTAGATTCGAATTCGATTTGAAATTTCTAGCATTAACTCATTGAAGATTACGCATTACTATCTACATAATGTGTGGCTTATCAGCTAATCTATGAACTATTTCAATGAAAATCTTCACAAAAATGTAGATAAAATTGTTTACAACATCTATATACATATGTATATGTACATATATGAGTGTTGTATAGATAACAATTTCCAACAACTTATGAACTATAACATTCCGATTAGTCACAAATACCCATTAGTAAATTTTATCTACTAAATCATATTTTCGAAGATCCTCTTATTCATTTAAATTATAGAAGTTTAGCAATGACAATTAAAATTTCAGTTTTTCAACATAAAACACACAAAATTTCAAAGCCACGACTATAATCAAAATGTTAAATACTCAAAGCATTATCAAAGTCCACTCAAGTAAGTAATGAACTTTCATGAGCTCCATGTACAAATGTCTGTATGTTTGCTTTATAATTAAAACCGAACTTAGCAACAAGCATTTGATGAAAAAGTTCGCGTTATGCTGTCAGAAAGAAGGCAGTGAGTAATGTTCTAGTTGCTCGCTCAAATTGATGACGCAGCGCTCCAGTGGCGCAATTGGTTAGCGCACGGTACTTATAATCAGTAACTTGTGTGTTGAGGTTGAGCAATGCCGGGGTTGTGAGTTCGAGCCTCACCTGGAGCAGCATTAGCAAATATTTTGCAGATAGGTTTATGTCACAATTTTTTTTTGTATATTGTACAATAACGTTCTTGGGTAACATGAGATTCACTAAGTACTGTAATTTAATTTGGTAAAAAAAATTAGAACCAAAAAATATTAGTATATCTAGTTTATGTACATACATATATATTTATGCGATGTATATCTAGCGATTTTCTTGTCTAAGCCTTTGAGTACTTAATATAATTTATTTATACATATGCTCCAGAAGGAAATAATAAATATTACTCTTGAATGGAAAATAGGAGACTTTACCTCCAATAAACTTTCTATAAATTCAAGCTCTAAATTTGAAAAACTTTAGAAAACCTTCAGTTTCTAATACCTATTCTAAAAAATTATATGACTACAAAATATTTCCAATTCTGAAAAAGAAATCCAAAAAGCCAATGTATGGGGGGTACACCTTTGGAACACACGTAGTAACCCAATAGTTTTCAAACGCACTAAAACTAAACGATTTACTAAAGATGCTAATGTTTTAAGTTCATTTCTTCCAATATTCGTCTTGATGTAAACAATTGAATTCAGAAAAATATACATTTTTGAAGTTCGTTCTAATGAACTCAAATAAAACACTGAGAAAATTTTACGATTCTAGAAGAAAAAGTTCACCATCATATGCCATGGAAAGATTCATTAACCGAATACGTTCAATTCCATTGTTGTGAACTCTCCCAAGAAGATAAGAGCATTTTTTATGCATTTGTCACCAAAACCTCACAAGTTATTTATTTTGAGGGTACCCACTTTTTTTTTCAAAGAAACGATACAAAAACTTGAAATGTCGCCGGGATCACGAGCTTCAATTTCAGGAATCAAATAGTCGGTTATCATGGTGCGGTATCAGTTGCCATTATCCGGTACGTTCTCACCAGCAACACTTTACAGGAAATATGGAGCGATTATTCCACCGGAACACAGATAACACCAAACCGTTGGTTTTCAGGTTGTTTTCCTTGTTCCTCCGAAACGCGACAATTTTACTTATTTACGTACTCATTAAGCCGGAAATGGGCCTCTTCGCTGAACAAAATTTGGCTCGAAAACGACGGACCTTCTTGAAACTTTTCAAGAGCCCATAGAGCGACGCCATGGAGCGAATCGATGATACTTGGAAAGGTCGAGCGGCTTCAATTCTTGTACAAGCTATATTTGTACACTTTCAATTTAAAATCTCGACGTAATATATTCCGTACGTTAGTCCAAGTTGCTGTGAAAGTCAGCGAATCTATTCTCCACAGTCTTCTTAGTTACAGTCTTCTTCATTGCGTGCTGGTCTATTCGGACGAATATTATCATATAATGAATGCTGAGTCTCAAGATGAATGATAGTGTTGCGAATAGTACGCTCAGTAAGCCGATTATGTTGATCATAATTTGAGCGAAACACATTCTTCACAGAACAATGTCATACTGAACAAAAATAATATACTGAATAAAATAATATATAACTTAACACTACTCACGCGTGATCTGTCAAAAACAAAAACTAGATCCCCTTTGGGGGTTCCAAAAGAGTATGCTCCGGTCTTGAAACCTTCTGTAAGTCGCCGCATTTTTGCATAGAATTTTCGATCATTACCCCCTGTCGGCCAGCTCTTCGTAATCTTCGCATTTCGGCCTCTTTCTTTTTCTGTTCGCAAATGCGTCTCGCTTCCCTCTTCAACTCTCTCTCCCTCCCTCAACCCATTTTTGAATGTTTCCGCGTGGAGGCTGAATTTATCGCCGTAGTGCCAAAGATACCTTCTTTGCCCACCCTGGCGTTAAAGTCGCCAAGCACGATCTTGGCATCGTGGCTGGGACAGCTCTCATAAGTGCGTTCTTAGCACTCATAAAATTCATCTTTGGTCACATCGTCCTTCTCTTCCTTCCTTCAAATCAGCGATATGTTGAAGAATTTCGCTTTGATGTTCATTCACCGGAGTGAATGATAGTACTCGAAGACGGAATCTGTGTCCCACCACGAATCCCACACCAAACTTGCGCTCCTTTATATGGCAACTGTACTAAATGCCACAAGGACCTACGTGTCTCTGTCCTTGTTCCGACCGTCGCATTTCTTGGACGGCGGTGATATCAGCCTTTATTTTCACGAGGACATCAC